CCCCCCGCGCCCCCCAGGCGGGGCGCCCGCCAAGGCGCCGGGGGGAGCCGGCCACAGCGCCGAGGCTTCGCCTCCCATCTCCCCTCCCTGCTTAATGAATTTAAGAATTTTTTTAAAAATCTGATTAAAATTTAAGCGCTTTTCCCAAACTTGTTCCTCAAGGTTACGTTCACGTAACCAGCGCGTACATTTCAAGCTGCCTCATATCGGGCTGTTTTGAGGCAATTTCTGCTCCCCAGCCCTGGGCCGTGTTTGATCCAGCTGCCGCAAAGCCTCGAGTAACTCGGCAGCGAAAGTTTGTGTCATTCAGCGGTTTTTTGCCCGTCACAATGGCTACGGTGTCGAGTGCAGGCTAATAACGCCAGAGAAAGAAAAAATAATACCTTAAAATCCTCAACATTTTCTCAGCCACTCATTATTCAGCAACATTTTTCTATCGGAAGATGAATTTTGATAGAACTCTTACAGATTTAAAATAGGCAGTTCATCTAGAAGTGGAATTCTAGTTAAGAAAACTCTGGAAATGCTTAACTTGCCTTAAAATTGTACCAGGTGCTATTGGTCCTGTTTTATTTAACTCCTCACTATGAATATCTAAGGGAAGCTGCTAAAGCAGCACCATCTTGGTCCCTCCGAGCAATGTGGTTACACAAAGGGGGTCATTGACAATCAAAAGAAAAGAATGAAACAGAGCTGTGTTGACAAAAAATCCAACATGCCATAATTCCAGCAGCAACAAATGAACGTTGACATGACGTTGACATACATACACATTTCGTTACAGAGAGCACATAATGCTCAGGCAGCATAAAGGCAGTTACAAGTGACATGACAATAGGGAACATAATGAAGGACTGGTGTGTTTGTAACTAGGTGGTACAATGTCTTTAAAATGGACTTTATGAAAGCTAACGCTTATTTTCCAAAACACTTTTAACTAATTCAATGGGCAAACCGTTTGACTTCACTTCATTCACTATTTGAAATGTACAAAGTCAGCGGTCAGGGCTCAGTGCTGTAGCACTGCCTGAAATCAACAGTCCACTGAATATAGTGTGGAGATAAAGAGTGGTGCGATGTCTACATTTGTATTATCTTCTTTTTTTTTTTCCTCAAACACTGACCAACTTGTTATAATCACTTATGTATTTCATAACACGTAATTTCATTTCAGAATAGTAACAATGCAACAGGGAAGAGCGCACTGTTTGCTGACCTTGTAGACTGTCTCAATAGCAAAGTCATTATTCCAATAGCACTCACTCATAAGCTGTAGGTTCCCCAGTTCCTGAGGATACTTTTAATCAAATTGCTGAGACTAAATAATTCAGCCTATAACCATGACTTTAAGTGACCTGTTGGCAAATTAATCCCCGACACAACTCCACGGGTATCCGCAGGTTTAAATCTAGCTCCATCTCTGCAACTTCTGTCTTCTCGGTTAATGGTACCTTGGTGGCACTAAAACTGCTGCATTTCTGCATTGCAGTGGGCACAGAGGCGAGGCTAGAAAGTGGCTTCCAAAGTCATCCTCTCTAGCATGGATTGGATGACAGAGGGCAAGCCAGGAGGGAAAAGAGATGGCCCACTGCAGCTATAATTACGCAGAAGAGTAACCACAAAACCTCGCGAGGCGAGTGTGGGATGCTTACAATCCTTATTTAAACAGAGAAACTATGACAGGAACCAGGGAGACTTTGCTCCACCGAGAGTAACTTTATTGTTGTTCTTTTCTGATCAAACCATTTAAGATATCTACCCATAGCCTAATCTTCAGAGAGCAGACAGCAAGCAACCATCTATGCTCAGGAGCAACATCTCATTAAAGTGATTAATGTATTCATTCACGAGGCAGGAAACAAATAATTCTACTGTCACATTTTCTTCTTACCTCCACAACTTCCTCGTATTCTTCTTCCTCCATTTTGAGGGTATTCTTCTGTCTCTCCCCCACTCACTGGTCACACAGCAAATGAAGGTGTGAACACAAAGTATTAGCCCAAGAATGAAAGTACCATGAAAATCTACTAGTCAAGTTCATAAAGCGCCTGGGCTCACGGTTGGTAACTAGCCAGATCATTACAATGCTGTTGGCTAATCAGTGAAAGAACTTGAACACCAGAGAGAACTATAGTTGGGATCTGGTATTACTTTGATTATTATGGGAAAGCATTGGATTAAGTTTCGAACGTACTGATAAAAATCAAAATTTTGGACAAATTCTTTGTTTTAATAGTGGCAACACCAATACTGGAGTTAATGAAAATTAAAAAGAAAAAAAAATCAGAGGAAAAGATTTCTTGAAGTATGTTTTGATTTTTTTTTCCATTACAACAAAATTATTTGTAGAATTTTTCTTTTCCCTGTGACTACTCTATACGATTTCATTACATTATCCAAGGTCCTGTTTGAATGGGAGCTTTATCTGTATATTCTACTCTATTCATTCACAAGTAAAAGGATAATGTAGAAAAAGATGGTAAATATTTTTTTTTTAAGTGACCTTAGGTTAATGAGGCAATTTCTGTCTTCCCAGCATTAGCCTATGTAGGTGCTCTGGGCAGGTTTTTTTAGCTCTTGTGCCTTTTTTCTCTCTGTTCCTTCAGACCTGGAAAATATGAAAATCCATACAGTTGGCTGAATGACGAAGTAGATATTACTGTCAAAAGCTTTGAACGAATTAATTAACACAATGATTTTTGCTCTGAGGCGAAGGTAGAATTTTCCACCAGAGACTACAGCCCTGTTTCTAATGTTGGTAGGGGATGAGGCTTTGGAACAGCTGCTCCTGAGGCCAAAGATATTTGCCGTGTAAGCTAATACTACCAAATGGCGGGGTGGTTTTGTTTAGCTGGCTAAACTGCAATTCCTTCTGAGGCAAGTGAAGTCTAGTAATGCAGGTTAAATATAGGAACATAGAATACTGTCCCTTTTTAGTTCCAATGCGTTGAGAAAAATTACCAAAAAAAAATATTTGTTAAACCAGAATGTTAGCTATTAAAATAAATTCAGAACAACCCAATTAATAAGTGGCATGTCGTGTGAAAAAGTAGGCCAAAGGTTGTGAATAAACCCAAGAAGTAGGGATTGCGTATAAGGATACAATCTGTACAAACTATCACTACTATAACCATCACTTACACTTCCAAAATAACCACTTCCAGGTCCTTTCCTCTTACTGCAATTTGCAACTAGCCATCCAGACAGAAAATCTGACTTCCATGGGCAAGGCACAACAGCTACTCCCAAAAAGCTACAGAATCAGGAAACACCTCAAGATCCCATTCAAAGGAAAAGAAGTCAAATCTGATTAAAATGTTCTTACCAGCAACATCTAGCAAATATCCTTAGGAGCAAAGCCTCTCCACTCTTCCCTCCTGAGCAGCACTGGGCGAGAGCGAGCCTGGTGTATCGGCTCCTAATTACGCACGTGGCCAGCACAGCCAATCTGGCTCCAGCCCGCTCGAGTTTCAGCCCTAAATATACTTGGTGACCCCGGAGGAGGCCACCTGTTCTCAGCAACATGAAGGAAAAGGGAGCTGGGCACTTCTGTGCTCCCGAGGAAACCCAAAACACACCAGGGCTCAGCTGAATTTCACCAGGTCTCTGCTGAAATGGATCCCTAGGCAAACCCAAGGGAGCACTCAAACGGGAAAAAATGTGCACATTTTCTTCTTTCCGAGTTGATAATAATAATGAATTTGAATTGACAGGGAAAATTTCATTCCTATATTGTGCTTGAACCAAAACTATCTGAATTCATGAATCTCTGAACATCAGAGAAAAGAGAGAGGAGCCTGGGCTTTGAACTAAATTTTTAGTATGAGTCTGTCTTTAATTTCATCCCTTAAGAATACCTGAAGTGCTTTATCAACTTGACTTGATATAAATCACATGTCATAGTTTTATCACTTCTTATGAAACGTTACATAGCTGAACACATGGACCTGGGAACTGACTACCTGCAAGGCAAAACATGCAAGGAACCCGATTAACAGCCAGTATGTCTGGTGAAGAAAGTCTAAGAATACGTAATAAACAGATTACGTGACAGGGGAGCAATTCGAATGCACAAAGTATTTTGGAAGGTCAAGCACTGTATGATGTATGGAGTAGAATCATGGTGATGATATCGGAATGGACCTTGCAGGTCATCTAGTTGACTCACATAATAGGACTGCTGTAGTTCTTCAAGGAGGTGCATTTAAAAGCCAATACCAACAACGAGCGCTTTTCATATACTGTATCGCGTAGTTCGAGAAATGATTGTCAGGAGCCCTTGAGAGATATCTTCTTGTTCTTAACTCTTTCCAGAAGTTAATATTTATATCCAGATGAAATATCATATCTCATTCACTACTGCCAAGTATTTTATACTCTGCGCAGGGCTGTAGGTCCTTCCCTTTCTCCTTTAGGCAGGCAATATGCATTCAATTCCTTAGCATTTTGCTTTACTAGGCAATCCTTCCCCTTTTAATCTGATTTCTGTTTATTTAAAAGTCCTTCAGTTTCTTAACATCTTTTGAAGATGTACAGAAATGAATATAGCATGTTGATGGAGCCTCACGAGAGCAATGTCAGCTTAACCTTCTGCTCTCCAACCAGAACCTGTGTGTGCACATTCCAGAAATAACTCACAGAGTCATTTTTCTCCAAAGGACTTAATTGGATGCATAATGTCACATCTACGTAAGTGATTACAAACCTTTATATAGTGAAGGGCCTTTTTTTTTTCTTTATTAAATGTGTAATTCATTATTGCCATTTCCAGCTCAAATCTCCATTGATGCCAAAGTTAGCGTCATCATCAGGAGCTCACCAACCCCCTTCTTCATCCTTTTCAGCAAGTCTGGGTTCATGGCCCCTTTTTCAGTCTTAGCAGTTGTACTTTACATTGTTCTTCCTGTAAATGGCATTCCCTCATAGTCACTGCTACAATATTAGATATTATTATGCCTGGTTCCAATCACCTAATTTAAATCAGGTTTACTAGTTGACAGAAGCTTGTGTTCCTCTGCCCTGGTGGTTGTTCTGACAAAATTAGCAAGCGTTTTCAAACAGGATGCAATTACCTGTGCAGTTCTCTTGCAAGTTCCTGCACACAATCTCTCCCTTAGCGGCATACTCCGCAACTCCTAGGTTACTACAACATCACCTGCAGATTCTTTCACAGCGCTGTTCAGTATCTCTTATTGAGAAAGAAGCTAAACAAGGCCAAAATTACATGCAGGTTGCAAGTACAAATTTTTCTGCTACTGAAATGCAGCCGCCTTTGGTGTGAAACACGGCAGATCTTGTAGCAGCAGACAGCTCAGGGCTGGAAACGAACCGTGGAATAACCCATCAAAGTTACAGAAAGGGTCTAAGAACCAAAAGTATTATTGCTGAACTGAAAAGTTGGACAGAATGTAAGACTCTTGTTCTGACATCAGAACATGAAGAGGAGAGAAGGGTCCTCCTAGGTCACCTACGGCTGCCACCAAATCTTTCAGTTCTTACATTTGCTGCGTTGCTACTTCAGCTCCAAATCTCAGGGAACAACTCTGACAAAACTATCGCTACTAGATTCACTTTTGTTTAAAACAGAAAAAAAACAGCCCACTATATTTTCTGTGATTTCTACTCGAGTCCGCAGTTGGCTTTTATTGGTGAAAATTTAGTGTTCACTTGCTTAAGTGGTTTTATCTACTTACAACACATACCAAAAAATGGATCTTTACACTTCTGCCTACGTATAAATGAGTTGTTTTTTGTATATTGATGTATAATACCTAAACACACGCACACACATCTTCACATATGTCTATACATTGGTCTTCACTGCGCAAATAAACTACTATGCTCATTGTCACATTTCATACCACTCACTTCTCAGGACCATTAAAATGTCAATGAGTCATACTCATACCGAAATACCTGTAAGTGTTGCATGCTGGAGCAGAACATGCATGAGGTAAATGGAATACTAATGGTTAATATTCCTTTAATTTTTTTTTTTTTTTTTTTTAATTGCTTTACTGTGAAAATTTGTGCCTGTGACTCAGATTCCAAGTCACTGTTTGCTGGAATATTCTGAGAATACCAAATGTTTCTAAGACATCAGGAACATTGTGCTGCAGGTGACAGCCTGGCAGTCCTGATGCAGGTGAACACACCAGGCCGGACTCTTTCACCCGCAGTACACACATGTGCAAATGCTCAGCACTTTTGAACTAAACCGGCAGAATGGTGCGAGTTGACTAAGGCAGAGGAAGATGTTGTTTCGCATTTAAATTGCCCAAAATTTTAAAGCACAAAATATTTTTTTTTTGTGCTTAACTTTTAAAAATACTCAATTCAATCAGTCCCACTTACCAAACAGTAACCACTCGGGGCAGGGGGAAGGGAAGGAATAACATGTGACCTTCTCTAGATTTCTGCAGAAGGTGTATAAGAACTACGAAATAGCAGCCTACGCGCACTCACGCTCCAAACCCACACAGCATTCACATACAAAAACTCACTGCTTTTTTTTTTTCTAGGACTGCATTTAGTTTGTTTTAGGAGGCAGTCTTCCACCTATGAGAAATACATAAGCTAATCCTGGAGCCTGATCAATATAGAGGACACGACAGAGAGGATCAGTACGTAAGGGCCACAGGGCAGCCATGCTGTAACCCCCTCACCCCCAAAAGACAGAACTGTTACAGAAATTCTAGTTTTCCACCACCTCCCTGCTGGTGAGCGACATTTGCCTATTGTCTTGGTCATTCATTCCCTTGTGGGTTTTTTACAGCGCATCACTCTAGATCCCAAGGTAGAGTTTGGAAGAATTTTTAATAAGCCCAGGACAGATCTGACATCATGGAACCCGGGCAGCACGCAGCATTGAACTGCAAGCCTGCAGTTACTTCTTGAAGGAGGGAACTTCAGGACTCAAGAGAC